CTCTGAACTCTAAGTCCTAAACCCTAGATTCTAAACCCTAAACCCTAGCTCCAAGCACAGGGTCCCAAACCCTAAACCCTAGAGTCGACCGATCCCAGCCCCCAAAGCGTCAACCCTAAACCCTAAACGCTGGCTCCAAACCCTGGCCCCAAACCCTAGACTCTGGCGGCAAACCCTAGGCCCTTTGAAGGCTAAACCCTAGCGGCAAGCGCCAAACCCTAAACCCTAGCCGCAAACCCTAAACCCTCGGCGTGCTGCTGCTGCTCAGGACTTGCGCAGAGCTGCTGGAGAAGAATTTATTTTCTCTGGATCGTTTGCTGCTGCCGGCGCTGCTTGCTGCTAATTCTTCTGCAATTAAATTGACAAATAGATCTTTGCTGCCAGCAGCAGCAGCAGAAAGTTTGCTGCTGCTGCAGCAGCTCGAGGAGATCCAAAAACACAAGCAGCAGCACTTTGCTGCAGGACTCCGCAGACTCTGGGACACCGTTGTCGCTGAGGTGCTAGGGTTTAGGGTTTAGGGTTCAGGGTTTAGGGTTTAGGGTTCAGGGTTTAGGGTTCACGGTTTAGGCTTTCGGGTTTAGGGTTTAGGGTTTAGGGTTTAGGGTTTAGGGTTTAGGGTTTAGGGTTTAGGGTTTTGTTGAATTGGGGCTGGCGTTCTCGGTTTGCCCCGCTTCAAGGTGCTCTAGGGTTTAGGGTTTAGGGTTTAGGGTTTAGGGTTTAGGGTTTATTCTTAGGGTTTAGGGTTTAGGGTTTAGGGTTTAGGGTTTAGGGTTTAGGGTTTAGGGTTTAGGGCTTAGGGTGAGCTTACAAAGAGGGAACAAAGGACCTATCCTACACTTTAGGGTCTGGATCTCCTGGAGGTGTAGCCCTTCAGCTTTCAGTGCTTAGAGTTTAGGGTTTAGGTTTTAGGGTTTAGGGTTTAGGGTTTAGGGTTTAGGGTTTAGGTTTTGTTCGCAGATTCAAAAAGCTTGCTCAAATTCTCTCCAGGACTTTTTGCAGAAGAGCGGATTCGCGGGAGGCCAGCGAGGCGATGAGCTTGCAGTTCCAGGCAAACCCTAAACCCTAAACCCTAAACCCTAAACCCAACGCCGTAAAACTCCAACCGTAAACCCTGAACCCTAAACCCTAAACCCTAAACCCTAAACCCTGTAGGGGAAGTGCACATGATTGTTGGTCCCTTACATGCCGCTGTTGCCGTACGTAGTTGGAGCTGGGTTTTGCCCGGCTCCATTAGGGTTTAGGGTTTAGGGTTTAGGGTTTAGGGTTTGCGCGTTGCAGGGCTGCGCAGCGGCGAGCGGGGGTTTGGCGCGGGCGAGGGTTTAGGGTTTGGGGGTTTGCGGGCCCCCCGCAGCAGCGAGGGTTTGGTTTCCTTCACTGAAAAAGCCACCAAAAGAATGCATTGTCGAAAATTAATTCGATTTATAAAACTTTGCAATTTTATTTTCGAAGCTGGCCTCATGGACTTCGCCGTCGGAGCCACCAAAGCCCTCATTCGCGCCCTCGTCAGGGTTTAGGGTTTAGGGTTTAGGGTTTAGGGTTTAGGGTTTAGGGTTTAGGGTTTGGGGTTTGGGGGTTGGGGTTTGGGGTTTGGGGTTTGGGGTTTGGGGTTTGGGCGTGTAGTGGCCCAGGGGGCCAGGCCGCGCTGCCCGGGCCAAATTGGCGGGGAAGGCTGCGGGTTTAGGGTTTAGGGTTTAGGGTTTGGGGTTTAGGGTTTGGGGTTTAGGGTCTAGGGTTCAGGGTTTAGGGAGAGGCGGCGTGTTGGAGTGCAAGGGCTAGGGTTTAGGGTTTAGGGTTTGTTTTGTGTAGGAGTTATTTGAGGAGATGGCGAGAGAGGGGAAGCAGCAGCAGCAGCAGCAGCAGAAGCAGCAGCAGCAGCAGCAGCAGCAGCAGCGGCGGCTGCAGCCCGCTGCGCGAAAGCTGGGGGACGCCCGCGGGAGGCCCCCTGCTGCTGCAGCAGCAGCAGCAGCAACAGCAGCAGCAGCAGCAGCAGCAGCTTTGCTGCCTTCTGCTGAAAGTGCTCTCTTAATTGTCCATTTGGAAGTTTCGCGAAGTGGCACTTCTTTGTTTCCTCAAAAGTAAAAATTAATTTTAAATAATAAATAAATAAATAAACAAATAAATAAATAAATAAATAAATAAACAAATAATAAATAAATCAATAAATAAATAAATAAATAAATAAATAATAAATAATAAATAAATAAATTGTCAATTAGATAAAAGTTGTAAGTGGATGCCTTAAGAAGAATTAAGTGAATAAACAAAATTAAATAATTAATTCTGTTTATTTACTCACTTGTAAATTAATTAAATTAATTAATTAAATAATTAGCATAATTATTCAATTACATAATTAATTAATTAGCTAATTAATTAATTATGTTGCTTAGTTAATTAATTAATTAATTAATTAATTAACAACTTAATTAATTAATTAAGCAACATAATTAAGTAATTAGTTAATTAATTAATTAAGCAACATAATTAATTAATTAATTAATTAATTAATTAAATAATTAATTAATTAATTAATTAATTAATTAATTAATTAATTAATTAATCATGTTGTGTAATTGATTATTTTACTTAATTGAATTGTTAATTATTTGTTTATTTATTTATTAATGACTCATCTGTTATTAATCATTTATTCATTATTATGATTGTTTTTTATTTTTGACTATTTGTTCATCATTTTTGATTTAATAGTTAATTATTTGTAATTATTTATTTATCTTTTATTTATTTTTATTAATTTATAATTTATAATTTATAATTTATTTATTATTTATTTGTTGTAAATTTATTAGTACCTCTGATCTGTTAATTTATTGTTAATTAATTTGTTAATTTTTTTATTATTTATTTTTATTTTCTTTTTTGTTAATCACTTCTGTGATATTATTTATTTCCTACTATTAATTATCAATTGGCAATTAATTATCATTTATTTATTTATTATTTATTTTTTCCTTTATTTGTTTATTTTCACATGTATATAAATATATATGCATATATATATATGTATATATATATACACTTTTATGTTTGTATCTTTATATATGTACATATATTTATTTATTTACATATTTATTTATTTACTTGCTCAGTTACTTATCCGTAATTAATTAATTAATTAATTAATTTGTTTATTTATTAGTTATTTGTTATTCAGTATTTATCTATATATGTATATATTTACGCATTTATTCATTTATTATTTATTTGTTACTTATTTACTATTTATCATTTATTTATTTATTTATTTATTTATTTATTTATTATTTATTTATTTATTTATTTATTATTTATTTGTTGTTTCTTTATTTACTTATTTATTTATGATTCATATATTTATTTATTTATGTATCATTTATTTATTTGTTAGTTAATTAATTAATTAATTAATTAATTAATTAATTAATCAATTAATTAATTATTGATCAAGTAATTAATTAATTAATTAATTATTATTCATTTATTACTAATTAATTTATTTATTTGTTGTTTATTTATTAGAGCTGCCTTCATTTCATTTTTCAAAGAACTGCTCGAAGACACTTTTCGCATTTTGTCCTCCACGCCTTCTTTTTTGTCGGCGGAGGAAATGGGGCCTTTTATAAACCCTCTCGTGGGATTCGGTAAACCCTAAACCCTAAACCCTAAACCCTAAACCCTAAACCCTAAACTCTAAACCCTAAACCCTAGGCGCTACGCGGTAAGCCCTTCGCGAGTCTGCCGCGTGGCGTGGAGCCGCAGGAACCAGCTGAATCCGCAGCGCACAGGGTAGGGTTTGGGGTTTAGGGTTTAGGGTTTAGGGTTTAGGGTTTAGGGTTTGCAGATTCGATAGAAGAAGAAAGTGGAACCCGCTCCTTTTCTTTATTTTTAAATAGCGATGAATCGCAACTGCCGCAATTAGCTGCACAAACACTCCAATTGGTGGATCAGCTTTTCAACAGAGTTGCTGCTGCTGCGGAGGGCTTCACAGTGAGACAAACCCTAAACCCTAAACCCTAAACCCTAAACCCTAGCTCGGCTGGCGGAGGGAGAAAGGGCGCCTCTGAGGGCTTTTCTCGAAGTCCTAAAACCCTAACCCTAAACCCTAGTGGCTACTTCAGTATAGAACAAATGCGGAGGTATTTAGAGGCTGAGGCAGCTCTGTGGCACAAAAAATTAGGGTTTAGGGTTTAGGGTTTAGGCTTCAGGGTTTAGGGTTTCGAGTCTGCTTTACGCGCAGAAATATGTGGAGGTTTACAACAACACCGAGGGCCTCACAAATGCCAGTTTAGAGAAAATGGAAGTTTCTGATTTCGAGTATCCCCGAACCCTAAACCCTAAACCCTAAACCCTAAACCCTAAACCCTTATTCGCCTCTGCCAGAATCAAAGCCTCAGCCATGGGCTGCAGCCGCCGAGCCCCCGTTTCGTTTGCTGCCCCCAGCGCTCTGTGCCTCGGGCTCAGGGCTTACGGTTTAGGGTTTAGGGTTTAGGGTTTAGGGTTTAGGGTTTAGGGTTTAGGGTTTGCGGGCAGCCGGCTGCTGACCGCGTGGCAGCGAGACTCCGAAACCCTCGCTGCAGCAGCTCCTCAACTTCACGAGGGTTTATTTTGTTTGGACATTTCGAAATTGCAAAAGGCCCTTTTGCCTTCTCTGAAAAGGGCCACTGGGGCCGTTCAAGCCTACCTCCCGCAGGCAAAAACCCTAAACCCTAAACCCTAAACCCTAAACCCTAAACCCTAATCGTAGACCCTAGACCCTGCACCCTAAACCCTGAAGTGTGGCGGGCTGTTCAGACATCTAGTTGAGCGCTCTCAACAGGGCGGTGGTGCAGAGGGCAGTTTGCCCACAGGAGAAAACCGCGATTTAGGGTTTAGGGTTTAGGGTTTAGGGTTTGGAGTTTGCGGCTCAGCTGGCAAACGCGAAAATGACAAAGCTGCTTCAAGAGATTGCCACAGCAAACGCGAAGCTCTCTGTGGTCCCCGAGGATATCAATGCTGTTGGTCCCAGGGCTTGGGGTTTAGGGTTTAGGGTTTAGGGTTTAGGGTTTGGGGCCTAGGGTTTAGGGTTTAGGGTTTAGGGTTTGTTCGCAAGCGGGCGCCACCGTTGTCGACTGGCGCCGCTGTGGACGCGTGGGCGGGGGGCAGGTTGGTGGCTTGGGAAAGACTCGCCGTTGGCGCTTAAACCCTAAACCCTAATTTAGGGTTTGCGGTGCCGCAGTACGTGGACTTCAACTGCTACTTGAACGAAGTCAAAAAGAATGTTCTTCCCGGAGTCGAAGCAGAAGCTTTGAAAGTTTCGGATATTTTCGATGTTTTAAAAAGAGCTTCAGTTCGACTTGACGCGGGAACAAAAGCCCAACTCGCTGAACTCCTGCAGGGTTTGGCGGCCCTCAGGTAAACCCTAAACCCTAAACCCTAAACCCTAAACCCTAAACCCTAAGCCATGAACCTGGGTGTTGAGCGTTGAGCGCTTCGCGGGGAGGTGCCTGGCGCGCTGGGGGTGTCAGTGCAGGCCGAGCTCTGGCTGCTAAACCCTAAACCCTAAACCCTAAACCCTAAACACTAAACCCTAAACCCTAAACACTAAACCCTAAACCCTAAATCCTTGTTTTGGGGACGCAGGACTCAAGTGCAGTTCGCGGCTTACTCTGTTGAAGGCAGCACGAAGAGGTTCCAGGAGGAGCTCAAGGCGGCGCTGCCTTCCGTAAACCACAAATTAGGGTTTTTGAGGGAGCAAACCCTAAACCCTAATTTGTACAAAGCAGACGCCAATATGGAACAGCTCAAAGAAACCCTCGCAGTCATTCGCAAGCAGCTCGAAGAGCTCACAGAAGAAGTCAACCGATGCAGAAGGCCCGAAACCCTAAACCCTAAACCCTAAACCCTAAACCCTAAACCCTAAACCCTAGGCTGCTGCAGCCCGGCAGCTCCGGCCAGAAACCCTAGACGCTGGCTACCCCTTTGCCTAAACCCTAAAGAACAGTAAACTGCATGCAGCTGCTCTACAGCGCGTAGAACCCATGGCCTAAGGCTTAGGGTTTAGGGCTTAGGGTTTAGGGTTTAGGGTTTAGGGTTTAGGGTTTGCGCAGGTGCGAGGAAGTGCTGCACGTGGACGCGGCCCCTTTCGAGGGTTTTGAAGAAACCCTCGAACTCTGCGAAAGTTTGGAAAGTTGTTTTAAAATAAAAGAAGAATATTTGGAATTCAAAAAAGAAGCTGGAGAACAACTTTTCTGGAAATGCCAAGTCCCCCAGCTCCAAAACACTGTGCAGGCCAGCAAACCCTAAACCCTAAACCCTAAACCCTAAACCCTTAACCCTAAACCCTAAGCCCTTAACCCTTAACCCTTAACGCTTAACCCTAAACCGTGACTTTTGAACCCTAAACCCTAAACCCTAAACCCTGAACCCCAATCCCTCAGCCGTAGACCCTAAACCCTAGACTGAGATCTTTAACCATAAACCCTGATCTGTAAACCCTAAACCCTAAACCACAAACCCTAGAGATCCAGCTTTGCAGAGGAAAGAGAGAACCTCCTTGTTGCCGTTCTTCGCCGTGAGCGTGTGGTCAGGTGGCCTTGGGCTGAGGGTTTGGGGTTTAGGGTTTAGGGTTTAGGGTTTAGGGTTTAGGGTTTAGGGTTTAGGGTTTGGGGTTTGCGGGGTTGTGTTTCAGGGTTTTCTGAAGCGTTTGCAGCGGCTGGCTCCGTGTCTAGGGTCTCAGGAGGTTTACCAAACCCTAATTTCTTCTTTAAATGGTTTTAGAGACTCTTTGGGGGTTTGCAAATCTTTGAAAAACCCTTCTTTGAAAGAAAGACATTGGGGTTTGCTGCAGCAGCTCGTGGGCCCCACTCTAAACCTCCGAGACCCTCAGCTAACCCTCGCCGAAGTCACCCAAGTCAAGGAGCTCACCCAAAACCCCGACATCCTCGTAAACCCTAAACCCTAAACCCTAAACCCTAAACCCTAGCTGCGGCTGCTGGAGGCAGCTGCGCAGCGCGTAGCGGCAAACCGCCAACACGGCAAAACGCCGTTTACTGACAGATTAGGGTTTAGGGTAGGGACTAGGGTTTAGGGGCCAGGGCCTAGGGTTTAGGGTTTAGGGTTTAGGGTCTAGGGGCCAGGGTTCAGGGTTTAGGGTTTAGGGTTTAGGGTTTAGGGGTGAGGGTTCAGGGTTTGGGCCTGAGGCTTAGAGCTGAGGGCTTGCACAGCCGGTCTGGGCGCTTCAGGGGGCTGGCGCCGGGCTTAGGGTTTAGGGTTTAGGGTTTAGGGTTTAGGGTTTGGGTGCAGACTCTGTCTTCGGACGCGACTGCGGAGGAAACCCTCGAGGGTTTGCTGCAGTCGCTGCAGCAAACCTGGGGGTCTTTGCTGCTGCCTCTTGTCAGCAGAAATGTCAATAAAGATAATCTTTTTATTTTGGGACCTCTTGAAGAGGTTTACGCAACCCTAGAAGACTCCCTCGTCAGCGTCAACACCATTGCAGGCGAGATACTCCCTTCTAGGGTTTAGGGTTTAGGGTTTAGGGTTTAGGGTTTAGGGTTTGCGGTTTAGGGTTCAGGGTTTAGGGTTTAGCATTTGGGGTTTAGGGTTTGGGGTTTAGGGACTGGGGTTTACGGGCTGGAATTTGGGGTTTAGGGGATAGGGTTTAGGGTTCAGGGTTTGTGGTTTAGGGGTTGGGTTTAGGGTTTAGGGTTTAGGGTTTGGCAAAATGCAGGGACCTCTTGCAGTGCTGCTGCCGCCTAAACCCAAACCCTAATTCTAAACCCTAAACCCTAAACCCTAAACCCTAAACCCTGAAGCTTCGCCATGTTTTTTACAGCGATGAGCTGGTCTTCGTTTTTTTGCGGGTCGCCCTCCCGTGGCCTTGCGCCGCAGGCGCACCGCAAACCCTAAACCCTAAACCCTAAACCCTACACCCTAAACCCTAAACCCTAAACCCTAAACCCTAAACACTAAACCCTAAACCCTAAACCCTAAAGCGTGTTTTGGCGGTTCAGGGTCTCGTTTTGGGGCGTTTATTCGGGAAGAAGTGGAGGGTTTGCAGGTGGCGTTGAAGACGGTGCAGGAAACCCTAGAAGAGTGGTTGCTGCTGCAGCACAGCTGTTTGTCCTTAAGTGCTGTTTTTGCTGCTCCAGAAACCCGCAAACAGCTGCCCCCAGAAGCAGCAAAGTTTGCTGCTGCTGCTGCAGCATGGAAAACCCTCTGCAGCGAACTTGCTGCCAACAACTGCTGCCTCCCTGCATGCACGAAGGAGGGCCGCCTCCAAACCCTCAAAACCCTCAACCAAACCCTCGACGAGGTCAAACGCGGCCTCGAAGACTACCTCCAGGCAAACCCTAAACCCTAAACCCTAAACCCTAAACCCTAAACCCTGAACCCTCGGCTTCAGGCGCGCCGCCCCCCGCGACGCGCTGAGCCGTCAACCTGGCGCGACAAACCCTAAACCCTAAACCCTTGACCGTTCAGGGTCTCGTTTTGGGGCGTTTATTCGGGAAGAAGTGGAGGGTTTGCAGGTGGCGTTGAAGACGGTGCAGGAAACCCTAGAAGAGTGGTTGCTGCTGCAGCACAGCTGTTTGTCCTTAAGTGCTGTTTTTGCTGCTCCAGAAACCCGCAAACAGCTGCCCCCAGAAGCAGCAAAGTTTGCTGCTGCTGCTGCAGCATGGAAAACCCTCTGCAGCGAACTTGCTGCCAACAACTGCTGCCTCCCTGCATGCACGAAGGAGGGCCGCCTCCAAACCCTCAAAACCCTCAACCAAACCCTCGACGAGGTCAAACGCGGCCTCGAAGACTACCTCCAGGCAAACCCTAAACCCTAAACCCTAAACCCTAAACCCTAAACCCTGAACCCTCGGCTTCAGGCGCGCCGCCCCCCGCGACGCGCTGAGCCGTCAACCTGGCGCGACAAACCCTAAACCCTAAACCCTTGACCCTCAGCCGCGAAGCCCAAACGCCGGCCTCTAGGCCCTGAATCCTCGCCCCTAAACCCTAAACCCTAAAAAAGGGTTTTGGGGTTGCTGCTCCCTCAGCAGCTCGTTCGAGCGAAGCCAGGCGCGGAAGAGTGCGCAGCCGCGCGTGCCGCTCCGCGCCGAAGGGCCCAGGGCGTGGGGCCCGGGTCTAGGGTTTAGGGTTTAGGGTTTAGGGTTTAGGGTTTAGGGTTTAGGGTTTAGGGTTTGCGCAGAGCAAGCGGGAGGCGTTTCCGAGACTCTACTTTCTCTCCAATCGAGAACTCCTCGAACTCACCAGCAGCAGCCGCCAATTTGCTGCTGTCGAAACAATTGTGCAAAAGTGTTTTGGAGGCCTTCGGGGACTTTGGCAAGAAGGCGATCTGCGAAACCCCGACGTCGCCGGTGCCCAAACCCTAAACCCTAAACCCTAAACCCTAAACCCTAAACCCTGGAGCCTCGGCCCGGGGATGCCCCGCCGGGCATTCGGAACCAGCAGCGCTCCACGCGCCGCAGATGCAGACCCCCAGCCCAAACCCCAAACCCTAAACCTAAACCCTAAACCCTAACCCTAAACCCTAAACCCTAATTTGGGGTTTGCGGCAGGAATGGTGTCTGGCGAGGGGGAGCGGGTGGCGTTTCACAAGGCCTTCAAGCTGCGAGGCCCTGTGGAGAAGTGGTTGCAAGATTTAGAAATGACAATGAAGAAAACCCTTTTTAAAATAATTAAAAGCAAACGCACTGAGGTGTACAGACACCTCGACAAAGACTGGATCTTCCAAACCCCCGCCCAGGTGTCTTCCTGCCTCCACCAAGTCTTCTGGACCCTCGAGGTCGAAGAAGCTCTCCAAAGTAAACCCTAAACCCTAAACCCTAAACCCTAAACACTAAACCCTAAACCCTAAACCCTAAACCCTAAACCCTAAACCCTAAACCCTAAACCCTAAGCCGTTGGCGTTCCTGGTCGCGGAGCAGGAGAAAGCGGCATCCGCTGCTGGCGTGTGGCAGCCTGGGGGCTAGGGTTTAGGGTTTGGGTTGAGTCGCGGGGGCCGGGGTTTAGGGTTTAGGGTTTAGGGTTTAGGGTTTGGCGCAGGCGGCGGGGGCCAGCTGGAGCTGGTGGTTTCGCAGCAGCAGCAGCAGCTGCAGCAGCTCACTGAACTCATTCGCCTTCCTTTGTCTTCTTTGGAAAGATTAATTGTTTCGGGTTTGGCAATTCAAGTGCTGCACAACAGAGACGCAGCAGCAGCCCTTCTCCACCTCAACGCAGAAGACCCCGACGCGTCCGCGAGGGTTTAGGGTTTAGGGTTTAGGGTTTAGGGTTTAGGGTTTAGGGTTTAGGGTTTGAAGTTTGGGGTTTGCGGCGGCCGCGGCGCCCGCCGCCAGCGCCACTCGCCCTGGGGTCGGACTTTGCGGGCGAGGGTTTAGGGTTTCCGCGAGACGAGCCAGCGAAGCAGCTGCAACTCAGCTTCTAGGGTTTAGGGTTTAGGGTTTAGGGTTTAGGGTTTAGGGTTTGGAGGTTCCTGTGGACCTCGCGGCTTCGTCCGAGACGGGAGCTTTGGAGGCCCAGCAGCAGCGCTCGCTGCCGGGCCCCTCGGCGTCGCGCCTAGGGCTTAGGGTTTAGGGCTTAGGGTTTAGGGTTTAGGGTTTAGGGTTTAGGGTTTAGGGTTTGCGTTTAGGTTTGACTGGCAGAAGCAGCTGCGGCACTACTGGGACCCCGACAAAGAGCTGCTGCTGCTGCAGCAGCTTTCTGCTGCCTTCGATTATGGCTATGAATATTTGGGGGCCCCACAGCGGCTAGTAATAACCCCTTTGACTGATAGATGCTGGCTCACCATCACCAGTAAACCCTAAACCCTAAACCCTAAACCCTAAACCCTAAACCCTAAACCCTAAACCCTGGGCCGTAGGCGCTAAGCCGTGAATTCAGACTCTCGAGGGGTTGCGCAGTTCGAGTGTTGAGGTTCAGTAGTGATATGCAGGCGTTCTGACACGAAACCCTAAACCCTAGACACGGCAAACCCTAAACCCTAGGAATCCCAAACCCTAGAGATGCAAAGCCATAGAGACCCTAAACCCTAGCGGCTGTAAACCCTAAACCCTCGCTACTAGTGATGGTGCGCATCGGTAAGTGCGTTGGGACGGAACCCGAAGGCCAAAGGCCTCCGCCCAGAGCCTAAACCCTAAACCCTTTTTTAGGGTTTGTGCGCGCAGCGGCCCTGAAGGAGCTGTGCCTCAACAGCAGCGTGGCGGGGCCCGCGGGTTCTGGAAAAACAGAAACTGTAAAAGAACTTTCGAAAGTTTTGGGATTATTTTGTGTGACTTTGAATTGTTCGGATTCGGTGGACTTGTACGTTTTGGACAAGGTTTTCGCCGGTGCGCCAAACCCTAAACCCTAAACCCTAAACCCTAAACCCTAAACCCTTGGCCGCGCGCGCAGCGGCCTCTGCGCCAGACGCGCTGCAGCCTCGGGGCAGCGCCCGTGGCTGCTGCCGCCGCAGGGTTTAGGTGCGGAGCCCGGGCCTGGGGCCTAGGGTTTGGGGTTTAGGGTTTAGGGTTTAGGGTTTAGGGTTTAGGGTTTAGGGTTTGCGCAGGCGCGCTCGCCAGCGGGGCGTGGGCCTGCCTCGACGAATTCAACAGACTCGACTTGGAGGTTTTGTCAGTCGTTGCGCAGCAGCTGCTGCGCATGCACCACTTGCTGGCGCAGCAGCCCAAAACCCCTCCCCAGGCAAACCCTAAACCCTAAACCCTAAACCCTAAACCCTAAACCCTAAACCCTAAACCCTAAACCCTACGCGCCCGACACCCCGACTGCTGCTCCCGGCGACGCGGCTGCTTGCACGCAACTGGGAGCTGCTCCCAGGGTTTGCCCCGAGCCCTAAACCATAAACCCTAAACCCTAAACCCTAAACCCTAAACCCTAGGCCTGGAGCATCAGCTCTGCGCCTTCATCCCCTGGCCCTCAGCCCTCCTAAACCCTAAACCCCTTGTCGCGTACAGTTTAGCCTGAAACCCTCTACAAGCAACACGCAAAACCCAAACCCTAAACCCTAAACCCCAAACCCTAAACCCCAAACCCTAAACCCTAAACCCCAAACCCGAAACCCCAAACCCTAAACGCTAAACCCTAAACCCTAAACCCTAAACCCTAAACCGCGTTTCGCGCGCTGCAGGACTCGGCGGGTTTCGGGCTGGGGCTGCGGAGGAGCAGCGCAGTGTTTGCAATCCTAAACCCTAATTATTTAGGAAGAACTCAACTTCCTTCAAACCTCTCGAGTTTGTTCCGCCCCGTTGCAATGGTGTTTCCGGATTCTCTGGCCATTTACGAAATCACCATTTTCGCGCAAGGGTTTGCAAACCCTAAACCCTTGGCCTCCAAGTTCGTCCGGTTCTTCGACCTCTGCAAGCAGCAGGCAAGCCCAAACCCTAAACCCTAAACCCTAAACCCTAAACCCTAGCCCGCTCGAGAAGGCCCCACTGCGCCTGCACAGACGGAGCCGCTTGCTCGCCCGCGCCACGCCGCGCGGGGCTTACGGTTTGGGGTTTAGGGTCTAGGGTCTAGGGTTTAGG